TAGGAGCGACAGTGAAAAGATAAGATTTACTAAGAGCTACAGAGACAGGAAATTAGGTAGGCTAGGTAGGTTTTCTTCTGTCCATTTTAACTTTACTATGTCCTGGAAATGCTAAATTTTCTAAGACTTCAGTCCTCATTATTTACCCTAGAAATTTCAACTGCCTCTTTCTGATGCTAAATAAAAATGACATTTTTCCATGCGATCTAAATGGAATAATCCATTATTTATGAGGTATTGGCAGAGTGTTTCTTTCTTTCGATTTCTCACTGAAACCAAGTTGCGTTTCTAATATGTCTTTTCCGTCTTTCCACATAATCTAAACGGAATAGTCCATTATTTATAAGGTACTGTCAGGCATAACGTACGTGCTAAAAAAAGGAAGAAAGACGCAGAATTATAATTAGCTAATAATAATAATAATAATAATAATAATAATAATTATTATTATTATTATTATTATTATTATTACTCTCTTTTTATTCTGACAGTAATTCTACTGTTTTAATTCTTGTTTTTTTTTTTGTTTTTTTTTTTTTTTTTTTACATTTTAATTCCTACGTTGATTTTTTTCTGTCTCTTTTCAAATGTATCCCACGACCCTGTTTCTCCTCGTTCCCAGGGCAAGCGCGCGACTGCAGTTTCCCGCTCTTTTCTTAAGTTTTAAGTTTTATTTTTATTTGTTAATGTTTTTGCTTGAAGACCATTTCCTGGACCAGAAGCGGCCGAGTCATGACGTCCGTATCCCAACACAACTGTCAACATGACCGACTTCAAAGAAACTAGGTTAATAACTATAAACTGACAGGTAAAAATTTACTCTCTCTTTTTCCCTTTTTTTTCCTGTGTGCTCTTATTCGCTCTCTTTTTCTGTCATTCACCTCCTCCCTCTTTTTCTTTGCTTCTTTCTTCCATCCTTATTATTAACATTTTTAGCATTTTTTTTTTTTCATTTATTAATTATTTTTCTCCCGATAATTTCTTGATATTTCTTAAGCTAAGCTTATGACGAAGCTAGATCTGATGGGATGGGAAGATTGTTTTACACCAGATATCCAAATGGGGGAAAAGATCCCATGCCTCAAATATCATCTTTTGAGAGACCGGCATTTATCTGGTCTCTGACACAAACAAATTTAAAGACAGTGGTAAGAAATAAATTTACAAAGAGAAAGTATTTCGTCTCTCTGAATATGTGTTGCTATTTATACAAAAGCTAAAAGGCAAATTGAGAAGAAAGATTGTGTTTCGCAAATCTCGCAAGAAATATGAAGCTAAATTGCATTCCAAAAAATGCTCTCTTATGAGTGATAAGGAATATGTAATTTGTCTTATTGATTTTTACCTGAAGTTGTACAAATGACATTAGGAGCAGAAGCAATAATATTGTACGTTGATTTTGTTTTTATATTAAATAACTAAACACTACAGATCGCGGATTTCAATTTTTTAATCTTATTTTATGTAAATTAATAAGTGAGGAGGGGGACAGTTTATTATGTAAATTTAATGTAAACTGATCTATCTACGGACACCAAAACATAAGATGCGCATACGATATTATTTCTTGAAATATAAAAAAAATCTATACAATAAATGCGAATGTTAGTGTGTCACTGTGTCCCACTTTTTCAACTTTACTCCTAGACGCCGTAGCCCAACATTTCATATCATTTTGGAATCAGGTCGACTCCGTGAGCAAATTAAAATCATTCCGGGCCGAAACCGGACACGCAATCCTGAATGTTTGAATTCCAAAATTTTCATTACTGCGATTGTTTTCGGCTTCCGCCATCTTGACTTTTACTGAGAAAAACAGTAAAATGATACACAATTCTGTAACTTTCAATAGCTCATATTCAAATGAAAAAAATACAGTTCACAAATTACAGTGTTTCAAAATAGAATTGTCCGTGTTTTCAACTTTACTCCCAGAGGGTGTAGCCCAACATGTCATACTATTTAGAAAACAGGCCGACTCCGTGAGCAAGTTAAAATCATACAGGGTTGAATCCGGACCCACAATCCTGAAATTTTGGATTTTTATTACTGCGATTGTTTTCGGGGATTTTTTAAGTGATTTTTTGCAACGGAATTTTTTATACGATAACAAATTTTATAACTTGGAACTAAATTTGAGAATAATCGAAATTAATTGCGAAATCCAGCGAAAGTCACCCATTAAATGAAGATAATTTTTTGTACAGAAAGTAAGGACATATGTACATAAAATTGTCTTTAAATTAATTGGCGGCAGAAGAATTATCATTGAACTTTTAAAAGCTTAAATATTAATGCAATACTTAAAAACAGCTGTCATTTTTTAATTCTTCTGTAATTTACTGTTGCCTATCGCAACTACTCCTCCCTACTTGTGATGAAGGTTCAATCTTGAAACACTAAACGGCAAATTTCTTCAATAAAATCGCTTCAACCACGGCCTACAGACGACTACGGAAACTCCTGCAACTATCCTGGAATGTCTTCTTGTTTAAGTTGGCGAATGCATCAATAATTCTTGCCTTCGCTTCCTTTTTGGTGTTGCAATGTGTTTTGTTTGCCCCATATATAATAATCAAGGAAGTTGCAGTATTAGGACTTAGGTCACCAGATGTAATGGATTGGGATGTGATCACCGAAATTGTCTAGGAGCCATGACTGGGTTTTTCAGCTTGTGTAGCATGGTGCAGAGTCACGTTACCAGACATAGAGACTTCCAGCAGCCACCGTCTTGACACAGGGCAGCACTACTTCCTCAAGGCGGTTGATGCAGGCCAGTGTGTTTAGTCCGAGTTTCTCATCAAGAAATTCGGGAGTACTTTTCTTATCAGAACGATCTGGGTGAGTTTTTGACCTGCCGTACCTTCGTAATCACCATTAGACATTATATATATATATATATATATATATATATATATATCAGAATATTTTAAACATAAGAACAAGCAAAATCTAATAAAGCTGAAAAAATCTACACCCAATAGTTGAAACCTCCTGACTAGTTTACCGAACAATTAAGAAAAAGTTCGTCCGAATAACACATCAGCTAAGTGAGAAAGTAACACACACACACACACACACACACACATTTCTGTGTTACATTTGAACAATTTTAGCACAGAAAAAGTGAGTACATGAGGCAACAGAAATATGGTTCTACAGAGGGATGCTGAGAATATTATGGATGAAGAAATGTTTTAAAGTTAATGGAAGCAAACTCTGTACTCATACGTGAATCGCAAAGAGAGAGATGAAATTCATTGCGCAAATAATGAGAAAGAAGTGCTTGTAAAATTTAACACGCACAATATATCTTGAAGGCAATGACAGGGTGGAATGTATGGTATGTATAAACTGGCCAATTGTATTCGAGGATATCCGTCTACTAGGGCGGCTAGCAAATCCCTTTCAACACCCATAGTGCCCGGCTGTGGTTTATATTGCAACTCTGCTGAGCAGAAATTAGTTACAGATTCTGGGAAAAAGCTTGCAAGCTCAAGCCCTCGGCCACCGACGCCTTTCAAGGGTTCCGTCTAACCAATTTCACTCACAAGGCTTGAGTCAACCTCTGGTACGGTTTTCAGGCCCTTTCCAAGCGTAGTATCATCCTCTACAGTCCGATAATATCATGAAGTGTCCTTCCTCCAAACTCGGGTCTCTTGGTCAGAATTCCAACGTTGTAACCACTCAGCCACATCTCAATACAGCTTGGAATATAGTAATATATAATAACAGGGCAAAACCCGTTAAGAGCAACAAAATATGAGAAGTTGCGGTGAGCCATGGTCGAGTCATTGATTGACTCGTTTTATACGGCTTATCAGCCCTTTACAGCTTATTTAAAGCCAGAAAATATTTTTATTGTAAGATTGTTATTTTTGGAGATAATAATGATTTAGATGTTAGTCATATTAATTAAAACATAATGTGGGGGTGGAGGAAGGTGGATTCTTGACTTTACTAAGAGTATTTGCGCGAATATAACGAACCCAGCTGGAATTAGAACAGGGCTTTCCGATTAACAATTTTGAGTCTTAATCAGTTACACCACCCGCACATTCCAGACGATCACTCATCTAGGTACTGGCAATTTTCGGCGTTGCTTAACTTCGGTAATCTTAGGAAAATCTGTGTTTCAACGTGATGTGACCATAAACGTATCTATAATCGATTATGTTCTGAAGGGACTTTGTGCATAAAAGAAGGCCTATACACTTTCTTCACACTCTGTATCTACCTTTATGCTTACCAATCAGCATAACACCGCTTCTACAGGACGTTAATATAAAAAGTTATATAAAAGTTGTAGTGCAAATGATATCGATTGCTGAAATGATTATTCGTTTCCATTTGGAGTTTAAAAGAAGAAAAATAAAAAATGGAAAATAAGTAAGAAAACGCAAAAGAAGCAAATAAAAGATTTTTAAGACGAAGTAAATACAGCAAGTCAATTTGTTTCTGTGCTACAAACAAATAAACGCGTAGGTTGGTCGTCGCAACAATAACATTAAATAGTTCGCTTCATTTTGATACTATTCAGTGTATTTAAATTTAATCCTCGGCGAAAGAAGTAAAACAAAAAAAAGGAAAAATATTAGAAAGTAAAAAGCTAGCAATACCCATGGTGTAAGTTGGTAAGGTTTTTAAAATTAAAATTAAAATCCCGCGTTACGCAATCATTGTTCCAGTTGACATCTTCTATTCATTCTTATAAAATGCATTTTTTAGGCCCCATCTCTTAGTAATATCGATCGAGCCTTGCACAAGGCATTTTACTAATAATGCTCACTATAAAAAAAAAGCAATAACACTATTAATTCCAAAAAAATAATACTAGTAACAATTGTATCGAGTTTCCACAACAATCGAGTCTCTTGGCTCACATCTGAGATAAAGTAACATGTTCACTCAATAGTTTAACACTATCTTAAGTATCCTGGTTAATTACAATGATGCTACTGTCTCGCTACTTTTAATACATTCTCTGATTTCTAATTGGCTTACGGTCACATCACGTTGAAGCACCTGTTCACGTACGATCACCGAAGTAAAGCAACGTCAAGCACAGTCAATACCTAGATGGGTGACCGTTTGTGAATACTAGGTGCTGTAAGCGTGGATGTAAGGGTGGTGTAATGGATAATGGCTCGAAATTACTAATCGAAGTGCTGGGTTTCATTTCTCGTAGGATTTGTTATATTCACTTACGAGAAAATATATAAAAATCCACCTTTGTCAACCCAAGCTCTATGTTCATTAATAAGACTAGTATCAGAAAAAATCATTATCTCCAAAGATGTTCTTGCAGTCTAAAAAATACTGTCTTTCAGCGATACAAATGATATATTAGTAATAAATACAGATTTCATCACCTGTAGCACAAGTCTGAATTTCATGTACAACGCAACCTGCAAAGGTTTGATAAGTCGTAATAAACGAATTTTTCAAAGAGGTTTTAGATTATTTTAGCTTGTTAATTATTTCAATGGCATCGCAACCTGTTGTGTTGCGTAATATCGAATATAAATCTTCTGTTTATAAACATTTCACCCGATGCAAAGCAATAAAGCCACTACGACACATGAGGGACTGAATGTAAGACAATATCAGAAAAAGAAAACATTATTAAGGAAAATGAACTGGAAATAAGAAATAAAAATATAACGATTAAATGTGCACAAAGGAGAAAAACAAAAGAAAAAACTGTTAACATAGAATTTACGGTTACATCTAGTAACTTCAACTGTAAAAAAATGCCTTACTACCAATCTAGTACTGCGTTTAAATTCACAGACTAGGTACTAAAGAGGAATACTCATAAGGTACACAGAAGCGAACTTACGGCGGTGAGAAAGTGACAAAAGTCGATTTCGCAGGTCAGGTCCAATAACATTGCAGATTCTTCTTCATATTTTATCTTTAAATACATAGCGGAAGCAACTGACCAGTTGTGGCAGCAACATTTAGTGCATGGAGCAATGGTAGATTTATAAATCTGTAAGATATATTCTAGCAAGAAAATTGTCTAGTGTGGCACAAGGAATAAACTTTCCTGGCTGAAGAACTAGCGTTTGATTCAATATAATTTTTCCACTTCATGTCAGCGGAAAACGTTAAGTGAGGAATCGTAAAGAACATGTCATAACGAATGAATACATAGGTAGACATAGGTTTGGATTACACTTGATTCAAAAACGTACACATAGTTCTGGATTATACTAAAATTTCCAATAATATACCGGAAGGTGATTATTTTTGGTATATATTAATTGTCCTCAAAAGAGGCAGTCGGCATATTCTAAACCAGGGGGAAAGAGTTCAGTTCTATTTCAAGCTATCCGATAATGGTAAGTACAGAGGTCAACTTCATATTTTTTGAATTCTTTCAATTCCACGACAGGGTCAATTTATTTTTCTGTTTTTACACAATTCGACATTTGTTTCTTGGTCCACATGTATGATGACCACCACCTTTTAGAAGACTGTCATTTCTAATGAAGCGGTTTAGTTTCCCGGTTGAATACAATTCCAAATCCAACATATATTCTTAATAGAAAGCATCATAGTCAATCTGAATGAGTTTTAGGTCAGATGAAACGAAAAGAAAACTTAGGAGTTAAATGAAGTTGAATAAAATGTGATATGCTATTTTCCAATCGTATTAAAATTATTACCAAGTTTATGTCATTATATATGTGTTGACACAGGCTCATACACGCATTGCTAAAAGCTCCTGGCGAGACGTACCAAATAATTACAAAAGTGTTAATCTAAAAACTCCGGAGTTGAGGTTCTGAATATAACATCTAAGTGACAAATTTTATTTGTATTAAGCATATATATATATATATATATATATATATATATATATATATATATATATATATATATATGGTGGACTCTCCTGTCGTGTTCGATGTATGAGGGTCAAGCAGTTCTGTTCCTAGAAACCGACAGTCAGACAGCAGCACATATGATTTGATTATAGTGTTGAAGGATTTCTGCAGAACCAACCACACTTTTTGAAGGGTCGAATAAAGTGAGCTTGTGCACTACGTGACTCAAGTTCACCAACCGAACCTACGCAGATTTTGAATTCAGAGTTGTCTTTCTCCAAGATTAATTGCCATCAATATATATATATATATATATATATATATATATCTTATGCTGGACGAGTTGGGTAACCAACGAAACAAGTCGCACACCAAACGTAGATACAGTATAACCCGGATATAAGAGAGTTGTCGGGACCGGAGAAGAAGTCTCTTATATCCGGGTTTCTCTTATATCCGGGTTTGGTCTATTTTATATACATTAACACAGGCTCTAATTTGGGACCAGAGAAAATCTCTCTTATATCCGGGTTTCTCTTACATCCGGGTTACACTGTATATGTACATTTATTAATATATATTTCCTAGCCCGATTATGTTTACACCTCTTGGCAAAATTTGGTAATTATTTATTTTCTTACCTGAGTATACAAGTCGGCACGTGTACATGCGGTTGCTTATATTTACTTATTTCATCTTCCTAAATTTTAAATTTATAAACTATATATATATATATATATATATATATATATATATATATATATATATATTAAGCGTTTCACCCGAAGCAAGGCGGGAAGCCACCAGGACGCAAGGGGTTACAGAAAATTTGGAGCAAGATCAGATAGGAGTGATAGAAGAAAGGATGAGGAGAAGGTTAGTGTATAGATCAAGACAACTGGAGATGTCGATTGACATTACTTTTGAATAGCTGGAGATTATAGCTCCCAGGGAAACTGGAATAGGGAAGGGAGTTCCACAGGCGAGAGGTGCGAGACATGAAGCTATTGACGTAGAAGAGACGGCTACATTTAGGAGTTTCGACAGTGAAGGGGTGAGAGTGGTATGGCAGCCTCGTAGGTCGCTTGAACTCATGAAATCTGGGAACCAGCGAATGCAGCTCTTCGGAGCAATTGCCATGAAAGTATTTGTAAAACAGACAGAGAGAGGCAACGGCGCGTCTGTCAGAAAGTGACTGTAGACGAGATGCCAGAGCAGGGCTACAGCTGATGTGCTTACGGCTATCACTGAAACTGTCTACCGAGCTCTTCAAAATAACGGGGAAGCATTTGATAGGGTTTGGCAAGCCGGCCTTCTTCGCAAGCTCCAGGGTTATGGCAATACGGGTCGATTGTTTGACCTAATACAATTATTCCTGTCAAACCGTGAATTGAAGGTCGTTCTCAACGGATTCTTCTCCAGTTCCATATAATATCACACATGGAAATAGTGCAAGATGTAAAATAACAGAGCTATACAATTATATAATAATAATAAAATATACATTTCATCACCAGCACAACTGAATTTCATGCACAACGCAATCTTCAGGTGCTGAGTTAAAACTGACCTATAGTTAAGCACCTGAAGACTGCGTTGGTCATGAAATTCAGAGTTGTGCTACAGGTGAGGAAAATATACATTTATTATTATTATTATTATTATTAATATATATATATATATATATATATATATATATATATATATATATGTCTGTGTGTGTGTGTGTGTGTGTGTGTGTGTGTGTGTGTGTGTGTGTAGGATGCCAAATATTCTACATTGGCATGGGTCGCCGATTAACTGGTGTCAGGAGAGCAATTATTTCGCAAGAACAGAATCTCCACTTGCGTTTTAAATCATGACTCCCCCACCTGAGCAGATGCACGCGTGATTTTTATTTTAGTTCCTCAATAAATATACGTTTTTTTTGCTTTCTTTTGCTTCAAATGTCAACAATTTGAGTGAATCTGGATGAGAATCCGATAGAATGACAAATAGATAAGACAAATTTGCAAATTTCTATTTCAAGATGTTTCATCGATACACTCAAACGCACCACACACGCATATATATATATATATATATATATATATATATATATATGTGTGTGTGTGTGTGTGTGTGTATGTGTGTGTGTGTCTGTGTGTGTGTGAAGAAAGTAATTATAGAGTTACAATAATAATGAAGACACAGAAATTTATCAACAGTCCACAAATACATTATTAAAATAGTTCTGGTTAATTCTGATTAATAACAATAAAATGCTGGGGTAAACAATAGTAAGTTGATTGCCAATACTGTTTGAATCCACCAGCTTCAGTGCTTTGCTTTTTTATTATAAAAATATATATATAGTCAATTTATTGCCACCCTATATGTATATCGTGGCCATGGTAGATTTGTCAGGAAGTCGACTTACTGATGTTATCGAACTGGATCAAGGTCGATGCCATCGTCTGACATCTTAGGAAAGTGCCTGAAAACCATACCACAGGTTGACCCAAGCCTTGTGAGTGAAATTGTGTAGACAGAACTCTTGTGGGCCGTCGATAGCTGTACTAGCATGAAGCCAGAAATCATCGTGGCCGAGGGCTTGAGCGTGCTGGCCTTGTTCAAATTGTTTATCACGCTAGATAACACGCTATATTTTGGCAGGTAGATTTCTCTCAAACATTTTTGTTATGTAGAATAGATACCTTCTGTGTATCAATCTTTTATTAAATCTTTTAAATTTCCAAAGAAGCTGTTTTGTGCTATCAATAAATTTGCTGAAATATATATGAATTTTGATGTAATATTATTTTTCCAGAATACTTTCGAATTCTACTATATCCATATTACATGGTTTTCCCTGTTTAGTTCCACAAATGTTTGTTTGTTTTTTTTTAGTTCCGGTGTTCTCATGTTTGATGGAACCAATTTCAAGTCACTCAATATGAAATTGTGGAGGCTGTTGTCATAAATAAAAAAGTAGCCAACATTAAATAAGATGTGATTCTCCACAGAAGACCGTATATTCAAAAAAACAACAACCAAAAAAAAAACTCACACAGATAATTTTTTTTTAATTTGACCGTTTTTATAACGTCAACTTGAGTAATTTGCAATTGGTTTCATGAAACGTGAGAAAGTCTCACAATCTTTCTTTCAACTCTCTTGTCAAACTTTTGTTGTCTTCCGGTTTCCTTTGCAAGTAAAACATTTCCAGTACAGTTTACCGCGGTACCCGATGTACCGCGGATGGTTGGTGGACCCCAAGATTTTGCTCTCGTACCTTC